GCAGGTGAAGGGGAACTCAGAGCAGCTGTGGCTTGCCCCATCCCTGGAAGTGTCCAAGGCCAGGTTGGACAGGGCTTGGAGCCACCTGGGCTAGTGGAAGGTGTCCCTGCCCGTGGCAGGGTTGGAATGAGATGGGGTTCAAGGTCCCTTCCAATCCAAAGCATTCTTGGATTCTGTGATTTTATGAACTCACCGTGCCCAACGTGGAGGAAATGGCTCTGCCTCCTGCAGCAGCCCCTCTCTGCAAACAGGTTCCTTTGCTCCTCCGCTCTGCCCACAGCTCCAGCACCTGCAGTCACAAACCCCGAGCTCAGCACGACCCCGGTTACAATTCCCCACCTTCCCTGCCTGAGCTGGGAGAAGGCACTGAGCGCCCATGCACCCACCATCCTGAACCAAACAGCTCCAGCATGAGGAACAGATTTAGTTATAGATGGACATGGCACATCTGGCAGCTCAACCCTGACTGTTCAGTTGCTCCAACTGCTCTCTTTGGCACTGTTTGTCTCAGGACATCGGTCCCCTGCTCTCTTCTACTCTCACATTACTGCAAGGTGAGCTCAGTAAGGAGTCGCCTCCCACAGCACAAAGCACTAAACCCCCCCCAGATTCCCCTGACACAAACTCCAAACTGTTTGCCCAGTGCAGGCAGCCCGGGCTGTTCACTGGTCACTGTTCACACACAGACCCTACAGCAGCATCAGATCCCAGCAGAGCCCATGCCCAGTCCCACACCACACCCCCTCTGCTCTCCCCTGCCAGAGGTCAAAGCGGTGCCAAGGACAAAGAGAAGGGAAAAGGAACTTACTGGCAAAGACAGGAGCCTGCAAGAGCCCTGCAAGGAAGACCACAGCTCGTGGGTCCTGCATGCTGCACCCCGGGAAGCACAGGAAGGTCTCCAGCACCTCTGACACTTATACCTGCCCTCCCTGGCAGGTGAGAAGGTGAACAGCTCAGAGCCAAATGGACTCGCATATCCCGGCAAATGTCCCCAGATTGTGATCTGAACAAACACCTCAGCACCTCTCACCCATGGTCAGGATCATACTCCCAGCTGGGATGACCAGGCTGGGATCAGGCTCCCAGCAAAACTTCAAAGTGTTTCTTGAGAGCCACTGGATTTGCTGCCAGCCTGGGGAAGCTCCCTTGGGGGTCTTTGTTGTTACCACCACTTCCAAACTAATTAAGTTTGTGGCGACTGGGAGCCACTCTCAAATCCTCTCACTTGAAAGGAACATGCATCCTTCACCCTCCCTGATCCCACTCAATGGTTTTATCTGGAGACGACCCTCTTCTGTCCCTCCCTTCACCAAATGGAGTCAGAGCTGGTGCTTGGACAAAGCAGGACTCCCCACATCAGCACTGGCAGCGTGTTTCCATGAGGGAAACTGCCATGAGGAGCTGCCTGGGGCTCCAGTTCTGTCTCTGAGCCCTGGAGCCAGGAGGAGGCATCTCTCTTCCCAGCTGCTAAATCCATGTAGGAAAGCACCAGTTAAGTCCAAGTAGGAAGGCACTAGAGCCCTGGAAGCAGCACTGCTGGCACCCCTGTGCTGTCAGGGACTCTCTGAGATGTCTCATGGATCTGGTCGAGGGCAGCAGATTCCTGAGTACAGGATGCACGAGGCTCCTCATCACAGACCTCGGGATCTCCACACCCACTTGGCCAAGGGCACGTGGCAGGGGACGGATCCAGCTCCCAGGGAAAATGGTTTTGCCAGATTCAGGAGCGAGAGCACACGAGTAACACATCAGACACCGCTCTGCCATTCAAAATGGGGGCTTGGGGGTTGGGTTTTTCCTGGCTACAATCACTTGCAGGTGCAGCAATCACAGACACAGAAGCTGCACAGCTCCCAGAACAAGCTGAGTCTCCTTGGAGCTCATCCCCAGTTCCTGGAGGCCAGCTGGGCTCCTCTGGGACGGATGCCTCGAGGAAACAATTAGCAAAACCAAAGTGCTACGAGAAGGCATCTCCTGTCAAAAACACACCATTTATCACCAAGCTACAGGAACCTCATCCCCTCCAGCCCAGCCCAGAGCAGAAATCAGCACAGATGCTCAACAACAACGAAAAAAATAAAAATTTAATTGTGTTAAGAGACAAACATGTATAACAAACCCCACATTTCCATTAAAAAAAATTCCCTGTGCCTGGGCACCTGAGCTGAGCCACTCTCTGTTCACAGCTCTGTGGTGCTGCAGAGTACCCAGAGAGACCAGAACAGAGTAGCTGCTGTGTAACCTGGCCAGAACAGAGAGCAGCTGCAGGGCAGAGGGAAATGACGTACAAAATAGTTATGGAAAAATATGCATTTTAAATAAAGAGCTTACAATAACTTCAACTTTATACAAAATATCATGGTTGTCATTTCAGTGTTTCAATTCTAGGAATCATTTTTGAACTCTCAACATCCTGTTTTCCATCTCACACCATATCTGCAGTTTCTTTCTCCAGAGAGCTCAATCTCTGTTCAGCTCAGTCCAAAGTACCTGAAAATGAAAAAACACGTTACAGTCTCAGGGATCAGAAGTTCAGTTCTGTGAACAAATGAAACTTGTTTACAAGCTGCCAAAGCAGCATGCAGTAACTCTAAAGTTTAAGCAAATCACACATGAGTAAGCCCAAACTCAGCCAAAAAATATTGCATGTGCCTCAGGGCCCACTTGAGCTGTTCCACTGCTCAGAGGGGCACAACAAGCTACACTATGTGAATTACTGAAGATGTGGAAAAAGAGAGCTTTTGCAAATGATTCAGTTCTTTCTCTCCCACAGTAGTGATTATAAAAAAACACTGAAACCAAGTGAAACCAAGTAGAAACTCACCTTCCAAAAAAGCAAATTCGTCGATAGCTTCAATGGCATTGTCTGCAAAGCAAATTGAGAACAATTACCATAGATAAACCACCCCCTTATTTGCATCTAACAGCAGCATCTGAAATTACATCACAGCAGTGACCAATTTCAAAAAGGTTTACTTGTTTTAGAGCTGCTGTGTGAAATTATTAGTGTACTATTTAGTGTAAGAAAAGTTTTTCTCTCCCATCTTCAGAGAAAGAAAGAGAAGCACCTACGATTATTTCAGCACTCTGGGACAGGTGGAAAAATCCCCGTAACCCAGAGGTTTAAGGCCAGCACAGAACATGCTCTCATACCAAGGTCTTTTCTCTGCAGAGTTTTCCTTTTTCCTTGCTGGGCGTACACATAAGCATCTTTGGCTATGGTTTCAACAAACAGCTCCTGCAAGACAAAACTAGGACGGTTTCACACAGGTGATGGGAGAGGGGAGAGAGAATATTCCGAGGAAAGGAAAGGTCCTACAAGACCCCAGGATGAAACCAGAAACTCCATCTTAACATTTCCCCTTCCCAATTAACGGCTCTGAAAACAGCAAAGGGAATGGTTGCACAGCAATGCACAGGAGAAGCAACAAGGGAGAAGGCCGGGAGTGTGATGGTTCCTCAAGGAGGGAAAGGTATGGGAAGGGGGAAAGGTGTCCTGTGCTCGGGATGAATCACCTCGAAGATCACTGAGTCCAAGCACCACCACCGTGCTCACCCCAGACCATGCCCTCAAGTGCCACATCCATTCGGCTGCTAAATCCCCCCAGGGATGGTGACTCCACCACCTCCCTGGGCAGCACAACCCCTTCCATAAAGGAATTTCCCTTATATCCAATCTAAACCTCCCCTGGTGCAACCTGGGGCCATTTCCTCTCGTCCCATCACTTGTTCCCTGGGAGCAGAGCCCGAGCCCCCCCCCGGCTCCCCCCTCCTGTCAGGGAGTTCTGGAGAGTGGAAGGTCCCCCCTGAGCCTCCTTTGCTCCAGGCTGAGCCCCCCCAGCTCCCTCAGCTGCTCCTGGTGCTCCAGACCCTTCCCCAGCTCGCTCCGGGAGCTCTGAGCTGCCGCAGCCCGGGGGGAGAAGGAAAAACCTCCCGCCAGGGCCAAGCAGCGGCTCCGCACCCCGCAGCGTTCAGGTCCCCGGGCCGCCCCTCACCGTGGCCCGCGCCAGCACGAACACGGCCTCCTGGCTGGCCAGGGTGACGTCCGGGTCCGCCTTCACCAGCGCCTTCACCCGCGCCAGCGGCAGCCGCGCCAGGCGGGCCGGCCCCGGGCACTGCGGCCCCGCGCCCGCCGCCTCCTCCCC